TATGTTTAGTGAGTCAACTTCACAGTTTGTGTAAGTTATGTTTAGTAGGACACCTTCACAGTTTGTGTTAGATATGTTTAGTAGGATAACTTCACAGTTTGTGTAAGTTATGTTTAGTGAGACAACTTCACAGTTTATGTAAGTTATGTTTAGTAGGATAACTTCACAGTTTGTGTTAGATATGTTTAGTGAGACAACTTCACAGTTTGTGTAAGATATGTTTAGTGAGACAACTTCACAGTTTGTGTAAGATATGTTTAGTAGGACAACTTCACAGTTTGTGTAAGTTATGTTTAGTGAGACAACTTCACAGTTTGTGTAAGTTATGTTTAGTAGGACAACTTCACAGTTTGTGTAAGTTATGTTTAGTGAGTCAACTTCACAGTTTGTGTCAGTTATGTTTAGTAGGACAACTTCACAGTTTGTGTTAGATATGTTTAGTAGGATAACTTCACAGTTTGTGTAAGTTATGTTTAGTGAGACAACTTCACAGTTTATGTAAGTTATGTTTAGTAGGACAACTTCACAGTTTGTGTTACATATGTTTAGTAGGACAACTTCACAGTTTGTGTTAGATATGTTTAGTGAGACAACTTCACAGTTTGTGTCAGATATGTTTAGTAGGATAACCTCACAGTTTGTGTTAGTTATGTTTAGTGAGACAACTCCACAGTTTGTGTTAGATATGTTTAGTAGGACAACTTCACAGTTTGTGTAAGCTATGTTTAGTTAGACAACTTCACAGTTTGTGTTAGATATGTTTAGTAGGATAACTTCACAGTTTGTGTAAGTTATGTTTAGTAGGACAACTTCACAGTTTGTGTAAGTTATGTTTAGTGAGACAACTTCACAGTTTGTGTAAGTTATGTTTAGTGAGACAACTTCACAGTTTGTGTAAGATATGTTTAGTAGGACAACTTCACAGTTTGTGTAAGTTATGTTTAGTGAGACAACTTCACAGTTTGTGTAAGTTATGTTTAGTAGGACAACTTCACAGTTTGTGTAAGTTATGTTTAGTGAGACAACTCCACAGTTTGTGTTAGATATGTTTAGTAGAACAACTTCACAGTTTGTGTTAGATATGTTTAGTGAGACAACTTCACAGTTTGTGTAAGATATGTTTAGTGAGAATGATGCATTCATAAGTATCAACCAGAAGGAATGTCTTGAGAGTAAAGAAATAGTGGGTATTAACAAATAGGGTATACTGTCACTTGCAACATCCTGGTTCTTTCCTTTTACATAGTCGACAAAAATGAGTCCAGAGAAGGTGGTTTACATTCTGAGCTTAAAAATAGCTTTAGCAGCATAATTGATAAGAACAAATGGACTCTGATAGAGATGAATATTCTGAAGAGCAATGGTAAGAATACATTCTTCATATTAAAATGAGGGAAAATCAATTTTGAAGGAGGATTAAAAAGGTCAACGATACTAACCGTAGAAGGATCATCCGGCCTAGGAGAGGGTTTGGCGCGACATTTGTAAAGCAAAATGTGGGACCCTACAACATGAGAAGACAGGTAGGTTAGGGGATTTTGCAACTATTCAGTGATTAGAGAAGCCACCTCAAATATAAACAGTAGAAGTTTGTTTAGATGGTGGTGGTAGCTTGTGAATGGAATAGCTGCGTTTATGAATATTTAGACCCAAGTTTAATAGGCCTCTTTGATGATACCTGCACCCAGGTTTAATAGCCTCTTTGATGATCCTTGCACCCAGGTTTAATAGCCTCTTTGATGATCCTTGCACCCAGGTTTAATAGCCCCTTTGATGATGTTTGAACCCAGATTTAACTGGATCTTTTGGTACAAAGAATGTCAAAAAGTCGATTATTTTCGGTCTTGAAGATGGATCCATTGCGTGTTGGGTTAAGCTGATGGAGGTAGTATTTGTAGTTTCTAAATGTCCGGGTTGAGTAAAATAAAAGATTCTGACAGGAACTTACTTTTTAATAGTGTATATTAAAATAAATAAGTGGGTGTGTTGGGCTAAGGGTTCTTCTACAGTAGGTGTCTGTGACTTGTTGGCGATAAATTCAACAATAAACAAACACCTCGTATTCCACTTATTTTTAGAACAATATATTCAAAACAAGTTAAATGTATATACAAAAATTCTTTACACTATGGCCATCACAATTGTATCTTAAACACAATACAGTTCTCTTCTTCTTGTCAAAAGTCCAGTTAGGCTTAATAAATTGCTTTAGAATTTAGTTGACAAGCCGAACTATTTTTCTATTGTATATTAGGTCGTCAAGAAATTAATCTCTTTTTTTTTTTAGATGAAAATACCCGAACAACTTATATATCAAACAAAACATTTATTAAATGAAGTAGTCTCCATTTTTATCGATGATGCTTTTTCCATCATACAGTCAGGTTGTTAATGCCCTAATTAAAGAAATCACTTGGCTTTGAAGAAAAAAAAAACGTGTCGATGTCCTCTTTAACACCTTCAACATTTGCATACGTGTTTCCATTAAGATGGTGTTGCAGCGAACGAATAAGATGGTAACCTTATGGTGCCATGTCTGGAGAACATGGCGGGTGAGGGAGAACTTCCCAACCCAACTCTATAATCTTGTGTTGCGTCAAACGTGCCACATGTAGACGCGCATTGTTGTGTAGACGAACACCTTTCCGATTGACGAGTGAAGGGCATTTCTGATGAAGGGCTTGATTTAAGCGTTCCAGTTGCTGACTATAGATCTCTGCATTGACAGTTCGCTGTAAATTGAGGAGTTCGAAATGAATTACTCATTTGATGTTCCACCAAATACAAAGCATCACTTTCTGTGGAT